TTTCTGACCAGTGGGATATCAGCCAGGCAAAAAAAAAAGAAAAAAGAAAAAGAAAAGAAAATCATTTGAATAGTCAGAGTGCTATAGGAATGAGAATTTCAGCAGGGATATTAGTTTAAGCAAACCTAGCTAGCAGAATAGACAGATATATGAAGAGGCTAGATTGGAAGTTTCCATACTTTCTCAATTCATGGCATGCTTTGTGTCTCCATATTTTTTTACAGTGCCTTCTAAAGCAACTGAAACATGCCACAGTACTTAGGGTCAAACAACATGATAAATGATTCTGTTTAGTAACTTATTTATCATTTAAAAGGTAATGCAGCCCTGACTAGTGGGGCTCAGTTGGTTGGTTATCATCCTGAGAAGCAAATGGTCACCACTTTGATTCCCAATCAGGGCACATGCCTGGGTTGTGATTTTGATCCCTGGTTGAGGCACATACAAGAGGCAACTTAATAGTGTTTTTCTCCCTACCTTTCTCTCTCCCTTCCCCTCTCTCTAAAACTAATAAAATCTTCCCCTCTCTTTAAAGCAAATAAAATCCTTAAGAAAAGATAATGCACATAAATTCAGACAGTATAATAATTTCTTTTCTTCATAAATAACCTCAATTGCTTACTAAGGGGTCTGTTTGCCAGCTGGCTTTTTATCACAGCATCCACTGAAAACTTTTTTTAACAAAGGTACAGCATTGCTGGAAATTAAAGTAAACTAAAACAGCTCCAAATGCTAACAACATTCTTAAAGGAATATAGCACTATCTAAGGTTAAAATTGAGAGGTAGCTTGAGCTGGTTGTTTGGTATATTTTCTTCAAACATTTATGGATCCCACAGTGCCTTTGTGAGTTCACTGTAGTGCCCCGGGGCACCTCTGCACAGAGTTTCTGAACAAGGGCTAGACAGATCCTAGAGAGTGTTTAAGTGCACAGAAAGTTGAATGATGGTATAGATACCAGACTACTGGAGGGTCTTCATTAGGGAAGTACAGGAACAGAAGTAATAGATAAAACTTTCCCCAACAAGGAGACTGAAGTCAGAGAATTGAGTTCAAATGCTTGATGGGGGCCTAGTGAGTGTGATGTGGTAAAGGGAATAGAAAGTTAGCCAAGAAGAATTTCAAGAGAGTAGGATTGAGGCAGTAATCTGATATAAATAACAAAGTGAAAATAATATTGTATTGCACCTAGAGTTTCCCATCTATAAAATAGAGAAATAAAGCAATTGGTTTGAGCAAATCATGGGAGTTGGGAAAATAATCAAGTTTGTTTCCTAGGAAGATCCAGATAATGAGATTAACTGTGGGTACCTTGAGTGTTTGAGACATTATTGAACAATCACTCAATATACGACTGTTAAAGGCTGAATTGCACCTATCCATAAATTTCTATGTTAAATTCCTAACCCCTAGAACCTGAGAATGTGACTGTATGTGGAGAAAGGCTCTTTAAAGTGGTAATTCAGTTAAGATGAGGTAGTTAGGATGGTCTGTAATTCAATATTACTGGTGTCTTTTTAAGAAGAGGAAATTAAGGCACAAATACAGAGGAAGTCCACATGAAGACACAAGGCAAAGATGGCCATCTATATGCTAATGTGAGAGGCCTCAGAAGAAACCTACCCTGCTGATACATTGATTTCAAATTTCTGGAGTTGAAGCCACCCAGTCTCTGGTACTTGCTATGGAAGAATAAGCAATATAGGAACACAGCACAGGATGGAAGATAGGGATTGAGGAACCGGCTATAAACGTGTATACACATATTTCAGTCAATGAGAGGAATGGAAAAGTCAATGAAAAAGAATAAGTAAAATGAAGTAAGAGTCTTGGAGACATCTGTACAATGAATAAACAATAAAAAAATGTATTTATAAATGAGATAGAGGTATGACCAGGCTGAAGAAGTCTCAGAATAGTTTAGTGCAATAGAAGACAAAGAAGTCAAGAATCTTAAGAACTATTACATGTCACATAAATATAAAGAATAAAGCTGAACAAAAGGTCCATGAGTGGTTGCTGGATAAAGTTGATAAATGACCTTTCAATGAGCACTTTAATGGAGCACTAGGTGTGCGGTAGATAAAATAAGAAAGAGAGAATGGGTAGGAATGAAGACAATGAGTGTTAATACCCCCATCACAGAGCTTGACAGTAAAACATACATAACCTTAGATAATACCTAGAGGAGACAGTAAAGTCTATTGATGATTGGCAGCACTGTGCACATTTGATTTGATGGAGTGACTGAAGATTGGGATATTTGAAGGGATTATAGGAGAGTGGGGAAGCAAGGATGTGGAGGAGTCCAGGGAAGGTGGCATTTCAGAGATGGAGCAGGAGCTGGATGAAGAAGAGGCAGAGGATTCTTCATCCACACCTATACAAAAGGAAAATTTATACTCTGAATATTCTCAAAGTTTTTCTTCCCAAAACACCATCCCTCAGAAAAGAAGTGCTGTGTTATAACTGACTTGTTACAAAGACTTTCATGCAACGGTTATGTCCTCTTTGGGGAAGATGTTAGCTGGAAACAACACCAGGAAATACTTGGTTTAAAAGATTTTTGGAATTAAAAAGAATATAGAGACAAAGGAATTTAAAAGAGAGTAAGTAATTATTCTTAGGGATACAGCTTCTGAGTTGCAAGGTAATATCTTAAACAATCATATTAAAATATTACTTAAGTCTTTGACTAAGTAGCTATATAGAGGTGATCATAAATATATACCTCTAGGATGAATAAAAAAGATAGTGATTCTAATAATATAGAAATGTGTACTTGTGGCTTGAGAAAAATCTGAGGATAGTATACATCTTTCAAAAACTATTTTTCACATGCCTTGGGTGGAAGTAAAATGAATTCACTTATGAACATTGGTAGACGGTACAACAACTGTTCTAATAACGCCAAAACACGGGCATCACATGAAAGAATTGGTAGAAAAGGACTTTATGAAATATGAATGAAAAAATAATTTTTCATTTTTGTTACTATTAGTAGTATAAATTCTCAGGATAATAGGTTGAATTCATCTTACTCCTTAGTTTATGTTTTATATTATCGTCAATCCGCATAAGGCCCCTTTCTTTTCCGACATAGTTATTTGTTCCTTTTCTTAAATTTCAACCTCATTCCTCTCCCATATTATACTATTTTATATACTATATGACTTTTATAAGTATTATAAGTGCATATGGAAATAACATTAATGAAGTTAATATTATAACAAATCAAACACTTTTCTATTTCATCTAAAGTTTAAAAGCTTGGAGACTGAAATTACAGTGTGGCTCTTTTATTGGCAAAATGGAAATTACCTCCAGTTACCTTTAATTCTAAGTTTTTTTTTATTTTGGATATGTATGGTAATTTCTTAAATATAAGAATTGAAGTTGATTTTTCTTCCTTTTTGGGAGGTAGTGGAGGCCATATTCCAGAAAAATAAAAATTGTGATCCAAATTTTAATTAATTGAAATGTATTTGGAAATTCAAATGTTTTGCAGCATTATAGATTTATGTCCAATATCCTTCCCAAACTCAATCCCTACCTTCTGCTAAATATTTTTATTAAATTAGAAAATTCTAAATAATTCAGTCCTCTTTGAAATGTATGAAGTATGTTTTTTTTATGCTGCATTTTTAGACACCTCTCATTGAGAAAATATCTGGCTAACTTTAACAAGCATGCTATGTGATACTTTGGATGCTTATCATATTAGAACCAAAAACCTTTTACATAGAGTTTACCCTCATTACTCACAATAATACCAAGTGCTATAGTCCAGGCAGATATTTATTATTTTATACATGAGAAGACATTAGAGTAAGGCTCTTTCTTAGGGGAGTCAGGGGAATAAATGTTTTCTGAATTTTAGTTTCTTACAGAGCTCCATCCACATAATGAGCCCTTGGAAGACATTTCAGAGCATCAATTTAAAAACCCCGTTTAATCAGTCAGAGTGAGCTCTGGGGGATTCGCTGTGGAACAACTTTGGGAGGAATCGGGTTCCTCCTCCTCCATCCAGTGCCTCCAAGTGAAGTGCTTTGTGGTCAGACTGCGCCCTGTGAGGCCACGTAGAGCCCATGGCTGCAAGGCTGTGTCTCTGCTTGTCAGCATGGAGGGAACAGCAGAATATAAATCATCAGCTTTATTTTATGAATATCTTTATTTACAATGCTGGAGTGGAATTTTTTTCAAAAGGAAAATAGGATTTGCATTGAATCTGTCACTCAAACTCCGGTGTTGATTCCTGTCCTATAAATGATCTTGCTTTCCTATTTTTTTTTCTTTTCTACAAGGTGACTGTCAATGTCAGGCAATGTAAACCTCAAGTATACTTTGTATGAGGCTTAGCATGTATGTTGGAAGACAGTTGTTTAATGAAAAGGGGTAATAGCATTCATTCAAGCTAAGCATAATTGATTGCACACAGTAAAATGTATTTTCTTTGGGAGTTTTGATTGCATTTATCATAATGTAAAATTTGATGCTATTCTTTTATTTCTTTGACCAAAAGAATTTCTCAGCTTAGCTTATTGTCTATGCAAAATGCCTGTCAAATGGAATGATGTCTTTGGTGAAAGCATTTAGACCCACAAAAAGTGAGTGACCCTCAGGGGTGGCTAGATATCTCCCAATTTTGACAAAGATCCTTTTCTGTCTGGAAATTGTAAAGCTCAAGCTATAGACCAGGAAAATGACAGAAAGGGCTATGTTTGGTTTCATGAAACTTAACCTATTTCTGCAAGTCTGCAATACTGGGAAAAATAATACCTGAATTGATATTTGTGTCAGGCTTGCTGTTGATTGCTAAGGTTTATATATAAAGGTTACTCTTAAAGAAATGTCTGTCATTCTTACCCTGCACTCTTGGGATTTCTGCGTTTTCCAAATTCTGCCCTCTAGAACAATAAAATGATTTAAAAATAATAAGTAAAATGTGATATAATAGCCCATCTCCTGTCTTGTAATGATTACATATCTCCTCGCTGGTAGCTCACCGCAGTTGGAGGACGATTATCATTTACTGTATCGTATGACCTTGAAGAAAAGGAAGAAGAGGAAGAAGACGAAGAAACAGAACACGTACTCCAGCTTATGGTTATCTTAGAGGTAGCGTATGAAGAGCGTCATTTATACTCAACTGTTTTACATTATTATGTTATTTGAGGTTATTCCTTACTTGGTTGATTTGATGTTAACTTACAAAATGTGATAGAAAAATATCATATCTTGGAAATTTGTCCCTATGCCAGTCTTATGTCTCACTAGAAAACAGAGTATATTCATTGGGTTTCAATGATAAAGAAGACCTTCAGACTAGACTTGGAATTTGAATTAAAAACATAATGTTCGTGTTCCCAAGAACATAAATATGATGAAAGTGTTTAGGCAAATGCTGATTTACATAGCTGTGTTATTTTCCATCTCTCCTTGCTTCCAAGTAGAATTTGTTTACTTCATTTACGTTAGTCAGAAGTAAGTGAAAAAGAAAACTTGTTTATTTAGATGTAGTTAAATTTTGACTTCAAAATTCATAATTTAGTGAAGAAAGACATAGGAGAAGCCGCTGTCAGGATTTGGAGGGCCACAGGCAATTCGGAAATGCTGGAAGCTTCCAGTTACCTTAGAGGTCCTCTCCCATCCTCTCTCACACCCCACCCTCCATCACTCACACACAGCCAAAGGCACACACATGCACACATGTTTATGATCCCAAGTGGGTCAATGTTGATTGAGCCCCAGGCTCTGTTGTTCTTAATGGGACCTTTCATGTATGTGAATCAATGACACAAATTTTCCTCCAAAATGAATATTTCCAATATTAGATGAAGTGGATGTGGATGTGTCTATGAAAGTAGAAGTAAAGCTTGGAATGCCTTTAAGATAAAAGGGTTCTCTAAATGTAAAATGGTGAGAAATTACATGTCACTAATATGGGTGAACTAAAATAAGAAGGATAATCTAAATGTCATAGATCAATCAAGATATTTCCTATGATGATACCATTATCCTATGCACAGTTTTCTCTTGTTTTTTCCAATGTAGAAAAGTCATTCAAAACAATAACTTCATACTCTATTCAAAGTTTTCTTCCCTATTTTCCTATACAACCCTATTCATCATAAAATAATATATTTGAAATATACAATTGTACACTGGTATAAAACCAAAGTGTTTGTAATCATATCTGTGTATGAGTTTCCAGGAACTATTATTTTAATTGATGGCGGAAGGAAGGTCATGCATAACCAAGAAGCTTATCCTTTGTAATGTATCTTATTAAGGCTGTGATTTCAATTGCCTTCTCTGTCTTTCATTTATGTATCACATATATGCTGAATGACAGGGAAAGCCAACCTGAAACTAAAAACCAATTCTCACCAAGTGGAGAATTCAGCTATAGACACTTTTTATCTTTTTTTACCCTCTTTTTGCAGGTTTACCCTTTGACACTTTCTTTTCCTTTTTAGGGAAATGGCTTGAGAATCAGTACAGCCCAAGATGAGGTGTATCTGAAACCATACGAAGACCATAATACTGTATTGTCACTCAAAGAAGATTTATTTACCAGACACGGCACACACTTTCCAGTCAGTAGAAAAGAGTTCATGACAGTACTTGCGGATTTAAAGAGAGTCCTCATACAGATCACAGACAGCCTTGGGGTGGATGCCATCTTCAGGTAAACTCAGGAACTGCATCTCCCGGTGTTTACAGAGTTACCTCGGAGCAAACGTGCCTGTGTTAGGGTGGCTTTGAAGATCTCGGGGAGTTACTGTCTTCAATCTGTAGATAATAATGGAGGGCTGGGGTTCTAAAAAGTGTTTCTATTAGGGCTTTAAAATTTTAAATACCTAGAATCAATTCGTCTTAGTCCTTTATTGGTGTAGGTGAATCATTGGCAGTTCTGCCAGAACATGGGGTAAAAATGATCCCTAAACTGAGAAATGCTATATTGGAAAATAAAGTCTCCTTTATGATTACTCAGACAGCGGGAAATTAAAGAGATGTAATTCCAGAATACCCATATTTAGAGAGTGGTGTATAAAATATTTTCTTCCATTAATTAATTAATGAGTTTCTGACTTAATCATGTAATTTTGTAATGAGAAATGTAAGCACCTTCATTTTGATAGCCTCAAGTCTCCTTATAAACCACTCTAAAACTGTAATGGTTGCATAGTGTAAAAGAAAGAGGAGATTTGGAGCCCACCAGACTAAGAATTCAATAAGCCCATTGCTGATTGTATGTGTGACCTTTGGCAAGTATTTGGTCCTTGTGGGAACTTGATTTCTTCAAGTATAGAGTGGAGAAAATGGTGCCTGCCTTTCAGGGTCATGGTCAAAGTTACTGTATTTTTGCCATGTATAATGGGTACCCACACTTTTGGCTCAAACTTACAGGGGAAAATTTTTAATTCAATTAATTAATTGATTTATATTTAGAAACAAAACCAATTATATTTCAGGGTATTACTTTGCATATAGATATTGTTATTGCTTTCTAGATTTGCACTTATAACACATAAGCATAAATAAAAGAATTAAAAGCACTTATATATACGTGAAATTAGTGCTGCCCATGTAGTACTTGGGTAGAAAAATAATGCACACCCTCATTTTTCCCTAAAAAATTTGGGCAAAAGTACATATTATACCCAGCAAAATGTGGTATGTGTTCTCCAATTTTTTTTCTTTAAAGAGAGAACTTTCTGACTTGAACCAAATGTGCCTGTGTCTGACTTACTATGGACTTTTCCCTTTAAAACAATGACAATTGTCTGACAAAATGTAAACTTCACCTGTGTCTGAATGAGCTGTTTCTTTCTCCTTTTCTATTCTAATAATGAGTAACAAGCTATCATGTCAACCATCTTTTAAATCAGATTAAATTAAATGATTAAATTTGACCCTGAACCAACGATTTGGCCTACCCATTAACCAAGCAACGTCTCCAATCTCGTTTTATCTACAAGAGGGTTTTTTTGTTGTTGCTGATGATGCTCCCCCAGTCCCATCATTTGCTTGTGATGCCTATGCCTGGTTTGTCTTTCAACTACATGGAATTATCATTGCCATCTCCCAAAGGACAGAACTGCAGGGTTATAAACAGAGCCATTGCCAAACCATGTACCCCTTTGCATAGGAAATTCTGCTAGAAGCTGGGTTAAAATGCCAGGAAGATGTGAAGCAGCACTTAGGAATTAGTTATGTTTTTCTCCATTTGGTAAATAGAAATTGTCATGATGTTTAAACAGTATAAAGAAATGAGTCCTCTGGCTTTCAAAATGAATGACAACCAAATTGACAAAAACTAGCTAGGAGGCTTATTTAGTTTTGTCTGCATTGCTTCTCAGACTAGTTCATCCAAAGGCATTTCCCCCTGATTTATGTCAGATAATTTCAGTGTCTACCCATCTTAAAATCATTGGTTTCATGTGAAGTCTTTCAAAGTTTTCTCACACATGAGTGACGCGTTCCCAGAGCATGGTATGTGAACTGACCCAGGAGCTAATCCAAGCAGGTGGCTGCTTTCTGGTTCAGAAGTAAAAGCCAACGTCAGGTTTGAAACTCCTACCCACTTCAGGTGAACTGAAAGTCAGCGTGAATCCCGAGTCAGTAAGCTGTTATATTTTATTTATCTCTGATCTACTAACAGGTTGACTTATATTTGTAAAACATTGTGTGAATTGATTTCAACTTGTCTTGCACAGTGGGCTTCTAGCTGGGTATACAGTTCGTGTGCAAGCACAAATAAGTTGATTTATCTCCACAAAAATGCATGTTTAGAGTGATTTATGTACAATTTACTTCTGTGATACTTCTCTCAGAAAATGGACTCAGGTTCCTTCGGTTACATGCTTACAATAGTCCCCCCTTGTCCACAGAGAATATGGTCCAAGACCACAGTAGATAGATGCCTGAAACCACAGATGGTATCAAACCTTATATACGATGTTCTATACATACATACCAAAGACAAAGTTTAATGTAGAAATTAAGTATAGTAAGAGATTAACAAAAATAACTACTAATCATAGGACAAATAAAATAATATACTGTGACAAAATTTATGGAAAACTAGTCCTCTCTCTCTCCACAGTAATTTTTATATTTTTCAATTCAAACCTATTCCATCCATCTGTATAACCGTCCCTTATCTGCAGTAAATGGCTTGGTGTCGCCTGTTCCAGGGAATCCTTTGCTGAGGTCATCGTAAGACTGAATGCTTTCTGGCTCAAAACTTTGCCACAGATTAAGTCAAGAACCTTCACCTTTTCACTTAAAGGAAGCACATGATGGCCTCTATTGGAAGTGTCTCAGTTGCCAGCATCACTACTCTTGTGCTCTGGGACCATTATTTAGTAAAATGAGGATTACATGAACACAAGCACTGTGATACTCAACAGTCAATCTGATAACCAAGAAATATCTTACTATGTGACTGCTGGGTAGGTAGTGTACACAGCATGGGTGTGCCGGGCAAAGGAATGATTCACATCCCAGGTAGGACAGAGCTAGAGAGGGGGATACTTCATCACACGAGTCAGAATGTAACTGGAAAAGACACCGCCAGCGTTTGGGCTGCCTGTCACTACCAAATCCAATAAGCAATGACAGCGATTGAATCTTTTAGGGTGCTGTATTCAGATGGCTGGCAATCCTAGAAGATGGAGGGTTCATACCTTAACAAACCATCTTCCCTTCTCTTTCCTGGACAGATCTTTTATAAGGGAGTGGGGGAGGACAAACAAGGTACGGTGAGGGCTTTGAGATTCAGAAGCTGCAACATTCCTGTCCTGGGCAGTTAGCTGATCCCAGGGGGAAGGGGTGGTCATCTGCTCTCCCTGGAACAAAGGTTCGAATGTCCCCAGGCGGCAATCTTCTATCAGTGCCCCAGGAGGTCGACTGTTTTTCCCAGGAGCCAGGATGGGCCTTATCTGTAGTTTCTGAAACAAAAACTTTAACATACACATTATTTGCTAGACTCATAACTTTTTACCTTAAGCTAAAATTTTCCCAGTCTTGTGTCCCCTATCAAGACCAGCATGCAATTTAAACTTAAGAGTTGTTTATTTTGGGAAATTTCCATTTGATATTTCAGACCATGGAGGGTCTACAGGTGATGGAAACCTCAGAAACTGAAACCGTGGATAGAGAAACTGCAGACAAGGGTAAACTACTGTAGGTGGCATTGAATAGTGAAAAGAAAACTGTGTGCAGGTCAGCATTTTGGCTTTTCTTCTCCACTCAGCTCTTGCATCGTTTTGGTCATAAAAGTAGCCTTGCCCTTTTTGGATTTCGGTCTCCTCATCTGTGAAAGGAGGAGGAGGATTGCTGCTGGCCTGAAAGTTTCCCATGGGAATGGAACAAAAGGGCTGCAAAAGTGCTTTGCTAATGGCAAACCAGCACACAAATCTGACACATTTTTATCTGCCCTGCATCATTGCAAGGAATAATATTGTCTCCAAATTCCATTAAGTCTCAGAGACATCTAGAATAAAGCATGTACTAATATTTCTAAAATTGTGTTGGTTTTGCTGTCATTCTTTTCCAGAATTCTGAGAGGCCCATACCATAAAGTTAGTTGGTCTCCTTCTCATTGTTCTCTTTCATGAGATGAAGATACATATAGAAAATTTTTTATCCTTCTCTCAAGAATGTAAGAGAAAAACACTTAACCTAAGTGTTCATGTTTCTCTTTCAACTTCTCCAAACCTTAGATTTAGTAGCATTCTTGATATGTAGTGCAAGCAAGGAGCCTATTCAATTTTTCCTTAACACCTATTCAATACAGAACTTTGCAAAAAAAAACTATATTTTTCTTTTACCGTATAGGAGACATGAGTATGTTCTTCAAATTTTTAATCTCTTTTTTCAAATATTTTATTTCCCTAAGCTTTGAAGGCAGATGTAATCATATGATTTAGTCGGGTTAATGAAATATAAGCCGAAGTGATGTATCAGCCCCACCCCACCAAAAAAAAAAAAAAGGATTGAATTGCCAGTATGAGCTCCTCTGAATCTTAGAGAGCGACCAGAAGATCAAAACAGCCTGAAATATTGATAGCACATAAGGATCAGCTGCCCTGAACAGTCACTCAGAACTACAGAAGATTTTGCATGAGCAAACTTTTGTTTTCTCTTAACCCACTGAGAATTTAGAGTTGTTACCACAGCATAACTGAGCCATCATAACTTTATTGTGATGCTCTCATGTACCTATTTTGCTTTAAAATAAATACATAATTTTTTAAGGCAAGATGTTTTTACATCACTTTCAGAGTAAATTTGGAGGACTTTTTGGTATCAAAAATATTTCTCAATATTTATATAGTAAATAATCTAGAAAAATACCATATAAAAAAGGGTCTTGCTGATTACAGAAATAGTGTCAATATAATATTTTCTTTTGAAATTAATGATGCAGGTGACCACCTGTATAATTTGCAGAAATTATACTGATGAGGACTCTAGGACTTGATAAATGCATGCAATTGCTAAGTACCAAACTGTGGGTAACAGGCTCAGCCAGGATCTAAGCCCACCTGTGTTTGCTCCCCATAATCTTTGACTGCCTCCCAAATCTGTTCTGTAAATATTGTATTCATTCAATCTGCCAACATTTACTGAGCACCTTCCCTGTGTATCTTTCTAAAGTCTCAATTCCCTCTTCTATAA